TAGATCCCAAGCGCCCTTGTCCTGTAAGTACTGCGTCCATCTTACTTTCTTAAGCCACCAGTTCTAACTTGACATGCATTCCAATTATCGAAACCATAGCAAACTAATTAGCCAAAATATTTATGGGTTTAAGGCACTAGAAAAATTGAAGCGCCAATTAGCTGATGCTGATGCTGCAGTTGAGGCACGCAAAAAGCCTCCAGAGGATGCAGGTCCGAGGATCATTGGGGAAGGGCTTGTGATAGATGAATGGGTAAGTTTTCTTGTAATCATCTGATTGAAATTATTCTTATAGAAGCTTCACTTGCGTGATGTGATTGCAAATTTTTTTTTCTGTTGAGCAGAAAGAGCGAAGGGAAAGATACCTTGCTCGACAGCAGGTTGAAGGAGTAGACTCAGCTTAAAGCGGCAATTCTTGGTCAGTTGCCTCATCATATGTTCGAAGTTTTATATAATTATCTCGTGCTTATACCTGTTGAATCATTTCATGTAATGCAAAGGGTGTTGTCTTGGAAGAATGATGAGAAAAATTCAAAATCTTTTGTAAAAAAATTTGAAGCTGCATTTTTCGTGATTGGAGACTTGAAGCTTGAAACTCAAAACTCAACTAGTTGTTACCATCTGCATCAACTGCATTGTAGATAATGTGATTTTGTAGCTGCCCAAGGGGAATAAAAGTATTCTTCATGGATGTGTATATACACTAAATGGATCTCAAACTCTCAATGCATATGCATATTCAATAATGTTCTGCATCAATTACCATTACGAAAATGTTGCATTTTGCTCAAATTTTCCGGTGCTTGTGTAATCTTGCAAAGCAATTTAGATATGCGATAAAAATCTCGCTTCTGTGAATGCATAGGGAGCTCAGATCAGTTGGTATTTAGAACCCTGTTTCGAACATGAAAATTGGTTGCTGTGTCGTTTCTAGTTTTTATTTTATCCTTAAAAGATATTCTATAACTGATATAACAAGAAAAAACGGTTATCGTGTTGAAAGGATCTTGAAAACCAACATCCCCTCCAACTGATAATACCCCCATTGATGTCTATATATTTTGGAGGTTCCTTACCCTCCAACTGGTAATACCCCCATTGATGTCTATATATTTTGGGAAACTGATAATACCCCCATTGATGTCTATATATTTTGGGGGTTCCTTACCCTGCAAAAGAATGTATTTTTCTGCAGCTAGTTCATCAGGGGCAAAACCCAAGTGGGGTTGTAGTCTTGTAGACACCAGACCGAATAATCTCTTTAATTAGTAATGTACTTAAATTGCGGGGCCCAGGGTAAATGAAGCCATCAACCAATTTCATGCCTATTTAGGATTGGATTGATTATGAAAGGTTGCCTTTAGTCATCTTCAATTAGATGAAAATCAGTCATAATTTTCATTTTCTTTTTTTGGATAATTCTATTTCATTACTCAAGAAGCAAAAAATTGCTACAAAATACAACGTCAATAAACAACACATTTAAGCAAAGCCATGATAACAATCATAACTAACCCAGATTAAATGAGAAACGAAACAGTAGAACAAGCCCTGCTTAAGCAATGCCCCATTTGTCAAAGAGAACAACATTGAACGAGTCTATTCTGTTGAAGGGCAAGTCCTGTAGTCGGATTTGAATGGTCTGTTTGATGTCACCCAACACGTTTTCCTTGGATCTAATTCTTTTCCCAAATAATTTGTTGTTCCTTTCCATCCAAATACCATATACATGGCCAGTAGGGTTGCACATAATTCGGATTTCAATCCGATCCGGATCGGTTTTTATCCGATCCGGTTTTTTCCCATAGAAAAAAACCGGTTTATAAAATAACCGGTTCGGTTTCTAACCGGTTTGGAGGGCCGGATATCCTAACCGGTGTAACCGGTTTCGGTTTTAAAAAAATCGGTTTTTTTAAAAAATCGGTTATAAAAAAACCGATTTTAATATTCCAGATTGCTCATAGGGAACCGATTCCCCCCCAAGGGGGTACCGATTCCTCACTGAATGGTTTGGCTCCGAGATTTCTAGAATGCTCGGAGGGAACTGATTCCCCCATAGGGGTACCGATTCCCCCCTATTCAACGGTCGAAATATTTGAATTTTACACTTAGGGAACCGATTCCCTATGAGAGGGTACCGATTCCCCCATGCTCCAAGCATTTTTATTAAATGTTTTCACACTTAAACGGCTATATTATCTTCATTAATTATCACTAACGTTCAGAAGTGATTCAAGGTGTATTTAAGCAAGCTTAGAAGCCATTGATCAAAGACAATAAACATCAAGCAACTAGAATCAAGAGAGAATCAAAGAGAAAGCATCAAACCTCAAGTTCGATAAATTCAAATACTTAATTGAAATACTTAATTAACTCAACATAATTGAAATACTTAAATACTTCCAAGTTTGATAAATTCAAATACTTAAAAACTTCCAAGTTCGATAAATTCAAATACTTAAAACTTCAAGTTCGATAATTGAAACAAAGTTTACGATAATTGAAATAAAGTTATAAAATAAACTACATTGCCATCTCTTCTTCATCATCTTCGCCTTCTTCGTTTGGAGGGGATATTCCAAGTTCGACTTCTTCAATGTGTAAGTTTGCTTCCAAATCGGCATCAATTGCATCTTCTAGGGTGGTGATATGTTGCTTACGAGCCGCTCCATCCAAATAATCCTTTAAACAAATGCATACTTCCACCGACTCGGGACTTAGTCTTGATCTCCGTTGTGATATAACCCTGCCACTAACAGAAAAAGCGGATTCCGAAGCTACCGTAGAAGCTTGGACGGTTAGTAAATCACGGGCCATGGCGGCTAGAATCGGAAATTGTGCTTCCTTTTCTTTCCACCAAGCCAAAATATCTAAACTTTCAAACTCTTCAAATGTCATTTTTGATAGAAAATCGCATGACATGTAATTTCCCAACTCGCTACTTGGGGTGGTAGTACGTGATCGTTTGGATTGGGAATTTACAGAGTGTTAAAAGATTCAAATTTATGTTACTTGGACGTCTACTAGATGATTCTGCATTCATTCTCATTTGATCGTGTATTACACTACTTGATCCGTATTTAGTTAAATAAATTGCAAACATGTCTCGAAAACATTTGTTAAAATAATTTATTTGGTTTTGGACAAAGTTGGGTTCATCATCGGTTAGATTAAAAGCAAACGTAATTTGTTCAATTAGTGTTTCAACCCCACCAATATTTAACGTTGGGTTTAAAGCGGCGGCACAAGTAAAAATAGGGGGAATCTCCTTAAAATATTTTAAAAGTTTTTCCTTCATTGCAAAGCCAATTTCTTGAAAAACTTCGGTTTCAAATTCAAAGTCATTTAGTCGGGTAGCCAACAAAAATATTTGATTAAGAACCAACGGGCTAGTAGGGTAATAAACACCGGATAAAAAAGTTGTTGCATTTTTAAAAACCTCAAGCAAATCGGTTATTTTGGCTATAGTTTCCCAACTCGAATCCGGATAAATGTTTGGGACATGACCCCTCTCGAAAAGCCGATCGTGAAATGTTTGCAATGTTTCCCTTTGCCTTAAGGCAGTATGCATCATCATCCAAGTTGAGTTCCAACGAGTTGGACAATCCAAATTAGGACTCAAAGCTTTTTTTATTAAAAGACTTACAAAATCGTTTATAATCATTTAGTCTTTTATTGTTGTTACAAAGAATCGATTTTATCATTGTTTTAAATTCTAATCTAATTGGCTCAATAACTTTCCAAACCGGCTTGCACGGATAAATTAATTATGTGTGCAACGCAACGGGTATGAAAAAATGCACCGTCTAAAATCGGTGAAAGTAATATTTTCAATCTTGGAACCGCGTTTGTATTATTCGATGCATTATCAAAGGATATAGAAAAAACTTTATTTTCTAATTTATAAAGACAAATTACCCGTTTTAAAAGTGTAAATAAATTAGCACCGGTATGCGGCTCACCGAATAATTCAAACGCGATTGTTCTTTTCATCATTTGCCAATTATCTTGATCTAACCAATGTGACGTAACGGCTAAAAAAGAATTTCCGGTATTATGAGGGGAACTCCAAACGTCACATGTAAGCGACACACCATAACGGTGTTCTTGGAATCCTAAAATCATTTTTTCCCTCGCCGTACGCCACATTTTTATAGCATCTCTTCTAAGGGTAGTACGACTTACTTGAGTATAACGTGGTTGCATTAGTTGTTGAATTGTTGTCGTGAAATCTTCATCATCAAAGTGGTCGAACGACAATGCTTTTGTAATCACGAACTTTGTAAACGCTTCTCGTAATTTTTCGTTGTCGTAAACAAAAACACCACCTTGCGGTGTAAGATTCGATTGACTAGGATCCGATCTTGAGCGAAGTGCCTTGCATGATTTTGTCAAATGGTTCTTCAACGTTGTGTTTCCTTCCGATGCAAGAAACTTTAGACAAAGTTTACAACGCGCCCTCCTCGAGCCATTTGACATCTCACATAAATCGTAGTGATCCCAAATATCTTTGTTTCGAGTGTGTTCGATCACTCTCACGACTTCAAGGTTTCCCCGACGGAAGATTCAGCAGTGTTACTCATGATGAACAAAAAATTACAAAACTAAGATTTGAGAGATGTTTAAATGTTGTGTAATAAGATTTGAGAAAGTTGTAATCAACCAAATACATCCCCAACCTATTTATACATGTTTAGGGTGGTAAAATGGTAATTTTTTAAAGAAAAAAACGGTCAAAAACAGTCACAAACGGCTATATTAACGGCTAGTTTTTTTAACCAGACCGGTTTTTTTTTTCCGGATAAAAACCGGTTTTTTAACCGGTTTTTTTCAAACCGGTTTTTTATCCGGTAAAAAAACCGGTCTGGGTTTTTTTCTCCAAACCGGTTAAAATTACCGGTTTAAAAAAATCCGATCCGGTTAAAAAAAACCGGTTTTTCCCAAATCCGGTTTCGGATATTTTTTTCGCAAAATCGGATATTCGGATTTTTTGTGCACCCCTAATGGCCAGTCCAAGCAAGCTTTAGAACCTTTACAATGAGGGACTTGCCTTTAAAAAGACGAGTAGCCCAGGCCAGCTCACCATCCCAACTGCTAACTCCTCGGTAAATGCCACACAGTTCAAGAATGGATCCCCATAGCTCTTTAGCAAAGATGCACTCAAAGAATAAATGATCTCTTGTCTCTGCCACAATGCCATATAGCAAGCATTTGTCAGTTTCAATAGTTAAGCCCATTTGCACGAGCCTAACCCGAGTAGGCTGCCTATTTAGCATTGTCATCCATGCTATGATGTTAAATTTAGGAATGCGCCCGTGGAACCAGACCAAATGGTGCCAAGATACTTTAGGAGCAGTAGCACGCAGATCATCCCAGACTTGCCTCGTGTTCAGATCACAAACCTGACCCGAGAAGAGGTGAGCAACATCATGTCTGGTTTCTAGCAAGTGTTTGAAATTCCAGCTTGCATTTGTAGGGATTTCCATCTGCCAAAAATCAACATTCCTAATTACATAGGAGTGCATCCAAGCCACCCAGAGTGAGCCTTCATTTGCCAAAAGCTTTCTAATTAGCTGCACAATGCAAGACTTATTCCAACTTCCAACATCTTGCAGCCCCAATCCCCCAGGCACATTCAGACCCTTCTAGAAGAAACATGAACACAACTGCTCCACTTTTCTGATGATTGTGTGCGGCATTATAAGTTGCCTACACCAAATTGAAGTCAGTAAATTCCTTGATGAAACTACTCTGCTCAACAAGAATATCAGCAGCTTACATCTCACACTTGCTAGCATTCAACTTCAAACCTGACATGGAATAGAAATGGTATAGGATAGCTACACCCCCATGACAGAATCAATGGATCCCTTGCAGAAAATGAGCAGATCGTTCGCAAAGCAAAGGTGGGTGAGTCCAATCCTTTTGCACTTAGGATGATAACCAAAGACCCCCTTTAAAGTAGCCACATTCAAGAGGTTTGAAAGAACATTCATTGCAAGAACTAAATTGTAAGGTGAAAGGGGATCACCTTGCCTCACACCTCTAGCACCCTTAAAGTATCCAACAAGACTACCATTGAAGGTAATAAAGTACCTAGGGTTAGCAAAACAAGTCCATAACCAGCTAATGAACTTATCAGGCAATCCCAAAGCATGCAAGATCACATCTACAAACTCACAGTTTAAGGAATCAAAACCCTTCTGCAAGTCAATTTTAAGTGCACATTTAGGTGATATTTTATTTCTTGAGTAACCCCTTACAAGTTCCTGGGCTAGTAAGGTATTATCTACTATGCTTCTCCCTTTCACAAATGTTGTTTGGTTCATAGAAATCATGCCAGGAAAGACAGAAGAAAGTCTATCCACTAAAATTCCAGTGACATTTTTGTAAACAATAGAGCAGCAAGAGATGGGTCTAAAATCTTTTACTAAGCTTGGATTCAAGATTTTGGGAACTATCACAACAGTCGTTGCATTGAATGAAGGAAGCATAAAAGAGTGGTCAAAATAGTACCTGATTTTTGCCAAGAAGTCTTCTCCTACTACAGCCCAAGCTCTCTTGAAAAAGAAATCATTGTAACCATCTGGACCAAGGGACTTGTTGTTCACTTGTCCCTACAAGACCTCCTTAATCTCAACATCAGAGATATCCTTGCATAAGGTGTCTGCTGTATCCCTTGACAAAGAATAGCCAAGTAACTCCTTGATGGTGCTAACATTGTTACCCTTAACCTCAGGGTCAGCTACCCCTAGTTGATTCACAAAGAATCCAACCACTTCATTAGACATGACATCAAAAATATTAAGTCTCTCACAACTTTGGTTGAATAAAACTCTAATTGTGCTATTTTTTCTTTTGTTTGCAACCATAAAGTGAAAAAAGCGGGTACCTTGGTCACCATCTTTAATCCAATCCACTTTAGCTTTTTGCTTATAAAATAACATCTCATCCTCCTCAAGGGCCTTTAATTCCCTCTCAGTTTCCACTTCAGCATGAATATTCCTTCCAGCAGTGGATGTATCGAGATTGGCAAGCTGCAAACTCTTCAATTTCTCCATTTTATCCCTAACTTGCCCCGAAATATCATTGTAGCAGTTCCTGTTAAGATCTTCGAGGCATCTCTTCAACCTTTTAAGCTTTAAGTAAAGTGATTTCATCAGATTGACATTAACTGGGGTCTGCCATGATTCCCTGACAATGGCCATGAAATCAAGGTACATAGCCCAAAATTTAAAAAACTTAAATGGCTTAGGCATATCAGTAGGGATTTCCTTATACAACCAAATTAGTGATGGGCAGTGATCAGAATCACCAAGGGCCTGAAATTCGACATCAGAAGCTGGAAAAGCTTCAATCTAGTTAGAGTTGACAAAGACTCGGTCTAACTTGCGTGCCAGGAATGTATCTTGCTGGTTATTTGTCCATGTGAACAAAGGACCTGTGTAAGGATGATCAAACAGCCCCAATCCCTCCACACAGCTCTGGAATTCAGAAATATCAGCCAGAGTGCTAGAGTTAACTTTAGCATAGCTTTCATCAGCTTTTAAGATGGCATTGAAGTCACTACCTATTAACCAAGCCCTACTTCCAACAAAAGCTTCCATAGAGTTAAGTTGAGTCAAAAGTTGCTTACGAATGGAGCTATCATTCGAACCATACACTGTAGTAATACAGAAACCAGTTCCCCCCCGAACAACCCTCAAGAGTAATACTTTGGTCAAATATAAATTTGATGGTACAATCTACATTATTTTGCCAAAGGACCCATATACGACCATTTTCAGCATGCCTATAGTTACAGCAATATTGCCAATCACTAAACTTCTTTGACAGAATATCTATGGAATTAGTCTCCTTCACTCTAGTTTCCAAGAGACATAGGATGCTAATTTGACTTCTAAAGTTCTAATAGCGCAATTCAGAACCTTGCCTTGCTTGAGGGGGTTGTTAAAACCCCTTATGTTCCAAAAACATATTAGCATGATACAATAGTGGAGGAAAAAGCACCACCCCTTTCCTCAATTTTTTTGACTTTGTCCACATGCTCTTTTTTCTTTAATTTCAGATCTTGCACTAGCTTTGCCACCCCCAAAGAAGCACCTCTCTGTTTTTTTTTTCAGAATCAGCAGCAGAGATTTCCAACAGATTATCAGGGTCAATAGCACTAAGGATTTCAAATTTATTCTTTGAACCACTAGTAACCCTACCCTTCTTAGTATGTCTTCCTCTACCCCTCTTGACAGGAGGCTGATGCTCAGCATGTTTAACCATATCCACCATGTCAGCAGAATTATTAGCAAGGTAGTTTCCATCAGAAACTGAGATGGCAGCAGAATTATTTCCAGCAGTAGCATCATCAACTTTATTCAGGTCATTTTGTATTGTCGCATGAACATTATGCTTTTTGCTAGAGCTAGTCCCATCTATTGCTTCACTAGAAGTAGCAGTTACAACACAACCAACATCTTCTGTTGCCTTACCACTAGCAGAAGGAGCATCCTTCATATGTCCCTTAATTCTCTAGACCTGCTCGATCCTTTTCCCATTCCCCGAGGGCAAAATCTCACCGTATGCCCAAACCGCCCACAGTGTGCGCAAGAGCTTTGCATCCAATAAATCGAGACCCTAATTCTTGCCACTGATCCATCACTCAGAACAACATCAATGTTATCATGTATTGAAGACCCAACAAGAACCTCAACACATACTCGAGCATATTTTAATCTTTCCCTAGCAGCTGTAACTGAGTCCATGTGAAGCGGTTTCCCCACAACACTTGCTATATAGCTCAACCCCCTCTTAGAAAATAGCTCAAGTGGGACATTGAATAAATGAATCCAAATAGGCATGAAACATAAATCAAACTACAATTCTTTCAGATTAGGCTCCTATTTCCTAAAGAATATCGGTTTGTGTTGTACATGCCATGGATCGTTTTCTAAAACCTAGTCCCTAGCATTCAAATTTGCGAAAGAAAAAACGTATAGGTTTGGCCCGATAATACTCACCTTAATCGGAGAAGCCTTACTCCACAACAGCGTAACTATCTTCTGGATGAAGCTAAAGCTTGGTGCCGAGCCAATAAATTGCCCAACTAACGCATGTTTCCAGTCCAAAATCCCTTCCTCAAACACCTCTTTCGGCGGCTTCACTACACGCGAGCCCTCGACCACCGCTGGTGGAAAGAACTCCAATTCCTGGTCAATCCCCGCCGCAAAGAGTCTTCCCCAAATAGTAGGGGCACCGCCTGACATAACCCACCAAAACTCCTAAAAAACCAGTCTCAGAAACAATAGAGGGACTCACACAATCAGAGGAAATAGATTCGCCTTCGCCCGCTGTTAGACTAGCTAACATGCACCGAGAGAGAAGACTCTTGTTGTCATCTACCTTTGGCTTTAACTGAGTCCACAAATAATATTTTATCAACAAAGTTTGATTTGAAATTTTAACCAATGTCTAATAACCAATTGAGTTGAAAGAAAAGGAAAATTTTGAGATCAGTTCAATAGATGAAAGAGAATAAATTTGAGACCACTTATATAGAATAAATTAGTTATGGTTGAAATAATATCTAATTATATCTATATTAATATTTTGAGTTTTGATTGAGCTTCGTGTCACTTGTTAAAATATTGTCAACATGGTCAGCAATTATAGAATTAATATTATTAAAAATGTACTGTTGTATTGTTAAAAGAGAAGCAATGGACCACTAAACTCCCTTTATATTCCAAATCATGAAACATGATATGGCACTGTCATTAATAGCAAGATGAGAGAGTAAGGGTCTTTTCAAATTTATAGTAACGATCATTCATGCAAATCTTTCCCGACTATTGGTATATTTAAAAAAAAATCAATCTTGAGAACCTCTCTAATTCGTTCCCCAGTGGCATGGATTACATTTCTATTGTACAAGATCATTGGTAGCCCAGACAACAAGATCTAAGCAGTGATATAATTAGGGTATGGTTGAAATCAAGAGACCAAGGCTCCGCGATTAAATACGTGCTGAAAAGGGTCCAATGACCATATAAAAGGACCTTGACATAAGCCTTCTTGGATTGAATTTGACTAACAAGTAGTCATTTTCAAAGTCCATAAGGTGCATCGGTTCAGAGGGTTTCCATAGGAGGGCGTTGTAGCCAATTTTCTTGACAAGAAGTTTCACAATAACAATCTTCTCCATATTCTTTTCTAGCAACAAGTAGACTCGATCAAGAAAATCTATGGATGACAAACCATCAAATTCACTCGTAAAAATATCACCCTCGATGAACAATATATTGACATACTCAAGATTTGCTTCATCTTATTCGGTAGAACCCGTATTATTGCCAATAATATTGTCTTTGTAGGAATGGGTCGATTGAGAATTGCCCCCATCATGTTTTTAACTCGGGTTCCTCTTTAGAGGAGAAGACCCCGTCTTATTTCTTGTTTTAAGTTATCTTTCGAAGGTTAAATTAGGTTCTTCTTCAGAGAATAATATCTTTATCGTGTTTCTTATTTTGGTTCCATCTACAATGTTTCTAATTAATATAATTAATTAAATTTCAATTAAATATTATTAATTAAAATTTATGTCAATCTCTAACAAATAAATTAAATTTTATCTCTTAAGTCTAAATTAAACTATTTAACTCTCTATCTATTCTAATTGACACAAGAAAACAAATCTCGAATGATTTAACTGAGTTAAAGTTTATCCACCCAAAGTTTGTCGGCTCTTTCGAGCCAAGATGGAGCTAAAGAATTAAACATTGTAGGCAATTAACAAAGCCTTCGTTTATCAGTCACCTTCGTCTTTTGATTTTAAAATTATTTTTCAAAACACATTTTAATTGTAAAAGCTCTTTCTTTAGCTAACTTTATCATAAAAAAAAAACACTTTTAAATGACAAAAACAATACCCAACACATTTTTAGTCTAAACTAAGGAATTCAGTTCATATTTTATTATGCGTTTCAAGATACAAGTTGATATTGGAATGTAAAATCATACATTTGAAATACAAAAAAATAATTTCCAAATTTAAGGTTAAAATAATTTTGTTTCAAAAAGTAAAAATGAATTTTAAAAAACAAAAAAATTTAAAAAGGATTCAACTTTCCAAAAAATAAGATATAAAATATTTAAGAGAAACAAATTCTGACTTAAAAATAAAAAAAAATGTTTAGCGATTTTTCAATAACACCTTTGTTTTTCAAATAAATAAATAAAGGTGAAAAGACAATAATATACATCTTTAATAAATGAGATCATCTTGATTATTTTTCGATTGAGTTGGTGTCGAGCTTACTCATAACATCAACTCATTTATTATTTTAATAAATAGTATAGGTACATAAAAAATAGAAAATAAATATTTTACATAACATATTACATGCAAAAACATTACTATAACAATGATTGTTGGTGGAGTGATAAAATATTTAACTCTAGTGTTCGAAATCTTAAGTAATAAATTTTAATTATTTTATTTAAATATTTGTATAAACATGAAGATAACGTCACCTTTACGATAATATTTATACTCATAAATGTATGGAATTATTTTAATCATTTTTAACTGCGATAATATAGAATTAATTTATGAGATAAACTCAATTAAGATACTAATAAATGATTGCATTGCTTTCTTATCATTGCATAATCCGCCAAGGAATGAGAGTATACGCATACGGATCACAATGTAAGCCGGCCTCTTGTTTTCCAAATTCCAATAGATAATTACAGAGGGCTTCTTTACACTTCAACAAGTTTCCAACATTAATTGTTGCTATAAATAGCAGGTTTGATCCAGGAAAAAAGAAACTAAAACAACAAAAAATGGCAAAGTCCAACAAAATCTCCGTGCTCACCATCTTGGTCTTGATCGTTGCCGTCATGGTCCTTGTTTCCATGGCTGAAGGCCGTCGACTTGTGAGTAAGTCCTCTAATCAAAAGCTAATAATAACAACATTTTATTTTTAAACGGTCTGGATAGTTATAATGTATTATTTGTTCATATTTTTTTTTAATTTGTTGATAATGTACACGCACTCTATAGACGCAACTACTTGAATCTATAACTTTCAAATAGAATATATTTTTCTTTTTACTATTAAGACCATGTGATTAGTTTAATAACAACATTTTTTAAGTGTTTAGGATTTAATGATTAAAAGATGCATCGAAAAAAATATGCAGTTTCAAGGAAGAGCACACCGAGCTGTGTTAAGGTGTATGGCGTGGAGAGTGGCGACACATGCTTTAGCGTAACACAGACGTTTAACATGACCGCAACGTTCTTCTATGCGATGAACCCTAACCTCAACTGTGATTCACTCTTTGTTGGCCAATGGCTTTGTATCGCTGGAAGTGCATAACAATGTTAAGCAGCTCATCCAACATAAAAGAGAATCCATGAATAAGGAGAGAGCTAGATTTTCTCCATGTCAAGTGCTTTTTTCTTACTTTATTTACATATTTGTACTACCATCCATCTTTAGAGTTCGTGACTGTCATAATAATACATTGTGACAGTCATTATCTCTTAGTTTATGGTCTTCATAAGAATATAATACCATTTTGATGGGTAATTTCTCAAATTCTAATGAATTTAACAGCAACTTTCTTATATATTATAATTGTTCAATTTTGTTAAACTATATCATTATTTTTTATCACTAAGGGTAAACTACATTAGACACCACCAAACTTTAGGTATTGTATCGTTTATACGACTAAACTTTTAATTTTGTCAATTATAACATTGAACTTTGAGTTTTGTTTCAATTATACCACTTAACCGTTAAATCGTTAATGAGATGATGACGTGGCTAACGACTGCCAATGTAGACACCTCACCAAAACGATGTCGTTTTGGTCAAACTGTTAAAGATTTAACGATTCAGTATTATAATTGAAACGAAAATCAAATTTCAGTGCTATAATTGATAAAATTATAAGCTTAATGATACAAACAATACAACACTTAAAGTTCAATGGTATTTGATGTGGTTTACCCTATCATTAATATAAATTAAATCACCATATATATATCATTAGGTGATTTTAACCAAACAAAAAGTTAATAAATAGAATTACTCATACTCCTAAAATAAAATATTTAATGTGATTCAATGCATTGGCTTTATGTCCGCTATTCTTTTTTTTTATATATAGAAATCAAATAGTTTCATTAAAAATTAAAAAATGTCACCTAGAGCATAACCGTAAACATAAACTAAATTAAAATTAGTACATTTTTTCTATAACCATTGACACAAAAACTAGCCACCTAGATCACACAATGACAAAAAAAATTAAAAAATCTAACCAATGTTCGAACAAAATAAAGATACGAACAAATCTTACTGCATCGACAAACGAATCACAAAAGGTGATGAAACTAATGAAAATCATCGACAAATCGTAAATCATAGTTAAATAACGTGAGAAAATTATCTACGAACGCAAAACACATATCCTAATCAATCTAAGGGTCCAAAGCAATGAAGATCAGCATGAAAACAAATAAGTATCATCTTCATCAGTCGTGGCGATGTCAAATCCAATCCTAAGAAAAAAAGGATAAACGAAAACAAAGAAAAAAAAACGTAAGCTACCAAAAGATAGAGAAAAACATGTTACAAAGACATATATAAACGTGCCATAAAGACAGAGAACATATCTCAAATACATAAATATTCTTATTAAAAAAACAACTAACATTAAAATCGGTGTCGTCACCTGTTAAAATAAAATTAAAAAAAATAAATTTATCAATAAAATTAGTACAAATTGTAAATAAAAAAAAAGGAAGAGAAAGCTCTATGTCCACTGTTCTAAATGATAAAATTTCATTCAATTAAAATTGGTAGCTTCCGTACAAAAAGGCAACAAACTCTCCGCACAAAAAAGTAAAGAGACTACATCTGTTGTCTATTCATTAATTAGAATTAAAACTTAATCACCCAAAACTCTTTTTCAACTAAGATTTTTTACTATTAATTAATATATATTATATTAAATATGCTTAATAATCGTATAATCTCCAACCAATATAATAGTTAAAATTTTATTATATTTTCACAGGTCATCGTCGAAAATTACTAGCTCTCAGTCAGTTGAGACTTCTAGATAAACTTTTTCACTTATCGAACCTTCCAAATAACTTATATCCTCTAGGCACAAGAGTATCTTAACCTCCGAGCCAACTACAATAAATAGAAAAACCCCTAATAGATTCACATGATTTACTAGTGTGAAATCCAAGATCTGATAGTTCGATTTATTTAGCTTACTAACATAGCAATTATAATGACCTTGTGTCTGCCACCATCAATTAAGACCACTATAAATACTTCTCAGCTATAATTGAGAACATGATCTTGACTATTTCCTTCTCCCTCTTGACCCATTTCTTTCCTTATACTTTCATCTATATCACATAGAAACATCAACCAATGGTCATATTCTAACTGGCCGCAACTTTTCACCCAAATTAAAAGGGGTGAATTGCCAACAACGATAAGTTAAACTTATTCTCATCAACAATTGATGTGATTAGCGTGGACGAGTCTTACGGATGAAAATAAGTATCTACATTTAGGATTTAAATTCTGATATCGTGGATGATGTAAATTAAATTAAGAAATCCGTCTCTTTAATAAATCTTTATAATACCCCTGATTCGTTGGATGGGTCCTCTGTTACAAGAGAAACCACGTAAACACGACAATCAGTGCCTTATGTTGTATATTGGCTGTTTTTAACCCTAAAACAAATTTTGAAGTGTATGAATAGAATAATATTTACATTGCAATTGGCGAAATAAATCAGATAATGTCCCGAGCGAAAGAGCTGGTGTTGGCAGTAAATGAGAAAGGCGAGAGGTTGGTGAAACTTACTGCCTCATAATCGTTAAAACCAGCAAGCACCAGAAATGAAAATCTCGAGCTCATTCACCGCACTGAAAATAAAGAAAACAATATTCCCTTTTTACCATTGATGTCATCCAATAAGTTCAAACAAAGGGAAATAGGTTTTTATGAAAATAATGTGTAGTTGACTCTATGTAAATCTTCCTAGAGTTACATAATATTACTACTGTAATTTTCTTCCACTTGCAGGCAGGACCACAATGGCATTTGTCATTGGATCTTGGTAAATACCATTGCTCCTGATTCACTCAAGAGGTTCTCAAAATCCATTGACATTAGAAACAGGGGTTGAGTGAAACACATTTGGCCTGGAAATTTCCATGTCCGGTTTCATGACTCCAAAACACAGCCTGTAAGAAAACCAAGTTGGCTAACTAATCGCCATTAATATGTGTACCCTACAAATATAGTTCGGTCCCAACATTGGGGGTATGAAACCATAGTTTGACAATCTAATTTTAGAAAACTAAACTGTTTCTTAGTGTTGGCTAAATGACGAGCAAACAGAGATAGAACCTTCATCTATCACTATCCCCTTTGTCCCACATCGACAGGACACAAAAAGCTTGATTGTCACTGTTCACACGTCCTGGGTTTTCCGTAACTTTACCACATGCAAGTTAACTGTAACACTTATGTAAAATATACAGTGAAAAAAAAAATACATTCAAGAATGCCAGAAACGGCTAAGAAAGCTATGGAATCTATTGCTAGACAACTTTCTGACAAGTCTTTTAGCGTCAGATACTTGTTCTTCTGCAAGTTTTTCTATGTTCTTTAGGTATCCAGAGCTGGCGATTTTCCTTCTCCCACTGTTGCAGCTTGTCAATGAAATTAATATGGAGAGTAAGAGCTGTTTGTTTCCCGAAATTCCCTTGTCTTCGTCGAGCAATTGAAGAAGAAACCGGATGTTTCTGTCATCTTGAACGAATCTTTTTCGGTTTTCGGGACCGAGACTAAGCTCGAGAGTGTTTCGATTGCCATTTTGCGCATATCGTACGTCTTGGCATCAAGCAATCTGGCGAGCTCCGGCATGAAACCGGCGTCCCCCATTGTCTTTTTAGCCTCATCCGATGTGCCACAGAGCCTAAACGTTAACTTGAGTGCCAATTCTTGAAGTGAAACCTCACCATTGCGTAGGAAGAAAAGTAAATGGTCTATGAACATGTAGTTCATTAGCATGTTTATGCGACTCTGTGATGAAAAACAGAGATTCTCGATCGCTCTTAATGCTACTTCCCTTGTTTTCGAAGATGTCGCCGACTTTGGATCGGAGATACGCACCAACATTTGGATTCCACCTTCTTTTACGACCGTTTCACGAACCGATTCGTCCCCGGAAGCTATATTTTGAAGGAACTCGACTGAATTTATCTGCATGATTTCGTCTTTCGATCTGGTTAGCTTGATGAACGTAGTAATGGCACCTTCTTCGACCATAAACCTCTTGATCTCTTCGACACCGACAAGATTCCTCAACACTCCACAAGCGAGACCGATCAGTTCCCCTCCGAATTCACTGCTCGAACATATCTTCAGCAGTGCTGTCACCCCACCGTGAGCCGAAAGAGACCAAGCATTGTCGGAATTTACAGTCAATGTCTGAAGGCACTTAACAGCTCCTACTTTGCTCAAACGACTTCCATTTTCCAAAACACGATTCAAAGACCCGACAATCCCGGATTCAACAAGAACCCTTTTGTACAAATCGAATCCGGAGATCAAAGACACAATCTTTGAAGCCTCTTCTTGAATCTCCATCTCTGGTGAATCGAGGAAATCTACTAAAACTTTCACAATATCACCAACTTCGAGTGCCACGAGTTTAACATACCTTTCGTCTTCATCCATAACCTGATATAAACTAACCAACGCTTGCCTTTTCATTTCTGTATCACCAATCTTCATCCTCGTCAACAAATCTCTCACGTAAAACCTCATTTCGTCTTTGCAAGCACCTAGACCGGGCCTCGAGACAACAATGGCGGAACCGTGAGTTAAAACTCCGGCTGTCCGAATCCCGGAAATGTTCTTTACGTGGAGACCGACTTTGGTAGCCATAACATCGAGGTCGCTTTGCATCAAGAGCTTCCCACTGTAAGAAAGATCCACGCATCTTCTTGCAAGATCACAACACTCGTTTATAGTAACCAAAACGGTAGGAACCAAATCGGAAAAGGCTGCAGCATTTTCACTTGAATCATAACCGTTCTCGACTGCCATTAACCCAGAACTCAACTCTTCAAGCTTCTTTCGAATAAGTTGCCATTTAACATTGAAAACTTTGGTGGAATGAGAAAGGGAAATCAAAGAAGATATGACCTCAACAGCCTGCTTCACACTAGATTTCATCTTCCCCCCCCCCCCCCTTCAAATTGAATGTTTGCTTTGAAGAAATGAATCAAACCATCCAAGTGATCTATATCAGAAAAAGAGAGAAAGAGAGGCAATGAATGCAGATGAGTTAATGGTGTACATTTAGATTAGAGTGGTGACCTTTCGGGGTAGTGTAACAGTGACAAGTCAATAGGAAGAAGATAAGGGTATAAATGTATTGTACGCCATTACAACAATGGTTAAAAGGGTAACTGAAAGCTCTCAGTGTAATAATACAACTGATGAGAAAGGAAGATGATTAAAAGTATTGTGGATATTTGATCAAAGGGATATCATCAATCTTATAATGATTTTATCTGTACTACAATGTATAGATATGAATGGATTTTACAATGGGTTGCTCTGGGGACACCTATCAACAATTAAATTCATCTTTTAAAATCTGATCAGATTCCATCAACGTTCTTCTACTTTTTTCCTCCGTTCGATATGGTTGGACAAATTTAATGCTATCGGAATTTGTACAATGTAAGAAGATGAACCTTTAATTAATTGTACGGTGCTGATGCATTAATAGGTTATAGATGGTCCCAAGAATTGATACTTTTTAGATTTTACTTTACCATTAATTTTTGGCCTTTGATGATATGGTCATATGTGTATCACAACTAGCTTCTTGGCAATGCAATCATACATGCATCTTATGGTGCACTCAATACTTATCAATTTTCCTTAATTTTATGGGATTTAAAGGTATACTTGAAATTGAATTATAATTTTTATGAGAATTAAAATATAATTTTATAAACTGAATCACTCAAATGATCTCAATGGTTAATGGAAATATTATTCTTTTTAGAGAGTGCGATTCTAAACATATATTATCTTGTAATCATTCTAGACTAAAAAATAATAATTTTTAACATCGAACTATAATTTTATCATTGTAGGGATTACAATCATATTTTACAATGCATTGACTTAAATTTAATATTTTTAGAGGGATTTATACTCTGTTTTACTATTGTAGGGAGACCAAGCTCTACGATATTTAGAATATCTCACCATCTTCGCTCTTATAAAGAAAAAAAATGGAAATTTGCTAGTTTAATGAGAAATTTAGCTTCAATTTTGATGGTTGGGAAATTCCAACATTAAATCCATTGAAAATATATATTGGATTAAAAATTAATCTTTATTAAATGACATTTAAGGAAATGGATCTTATTTTTCCTACTCAAAGAAGATTATTCAACACTGCATGATCCTACATTAATAAATAAGTTGTGTATTCTTTATTTTAGTTTAAATAAATGGCTGGAAGCTGGTATTTAGCTTGCAGTTTAGGCAATGCAATATAGTACTCTAAATTCCTATTTAATTTCATCAGTAAAGGGGGAAAATACATCCATCAGTGCCTATGATTCTTGTTTAGACTAATTTATTAAAATAATATTTTTCTATTATTTTTACAGAAATGACTACCAAATTATATCATTTATCGAAATAGCACCCTTTTGACAAAGATATGTAAACGGAAAAAAATATTTTAAAAGAATTGTTTTTTAGGGAGTGTATTTGCTTACATGCAGGATCTAACCAGAATTCTAATTTAAGGGGGCAAGGTATATCTAACAATATAAAATGAGAGGGACATAATCAAAATAAACTAAAACTTGAAGGTAAAATCAAAACAAACAAAAATTAAAGGTCTAGATACATATTTTTCCTATATAGTTTTGAATAATAAGTCTCCCTGCTTACATGGTAGGTCACTTGGTTTGGTTCTCCAACACTGATCTCATTCAAGATCAAAATAAAAAGAAGAAAAAAATTATATCAAGCGTTGTAATAATATTATTAAAAAAGAAAATAAACAATTATCTTTAACTCGTATCAGTATTGTAATTAAAGATAATTTTAGATATTGAGATCATAAGCATTTCCTAAGGAAATAATTACTTTTTTTAATTAAGTTAAGGTGATTATAAAGAAGTATTTGTTTTAGATACTCTCAACTATTTGACAATGAACTCTTAATCTCTCCATTGAACATTTTACGGATGGTACAATTTTATTTTGGTGAATTATTAATTTAGTAATTGAATTATTTTATTATTCTTGTATTATTTTATTGAATTTTAAATATTTGATAATTGAGTTTTTTATATTAATTTTTATATAATTTTATGATATCTTAAAATATTTATTATTATTATAATATATATTTTTATTAAATTTATAACACCATAAGATTATAATAAAAAATAAATTTAAACATTCTTAAATTATTTATTTTAAATTTAGACTCAAATCTTAAATTCTCAAATTATACCACAAATGTTAGATCCCAAATTATAACTTCCATTTTACCCTCATCTTTGATAAATTTACCTCCCACCGATGGATGATAGCTCATCGAGGACCTCATTATAAAGAAGAAGAAGAAAACCATGTTTATTAACAAATGGACTAACTTCTTATTCTTAAAAGTTATATTTTGCAAGCATCATAAGCTTGGTCCACATGAAACAAATAAACTTTAACTATTGATTTTTGCTCTTACTACGTCTAAATTGTTGAACTGCTAAATTCAGCGAGTGGTTTCAACTAGTGGTCTTAGTGATTAAAGTAAAGAATTAATTTCTCTATTTCTCCCTTTAATAAATATTAGATCAAATATTATTACTATTTAAATAGACTTTTAACTCTTTTTTTAATTATTTTTCATAGTAAAAATATTTTAATAGTTCCTTGACTATTGGGTGTTGCTTTGTTGACTGTTTCGACTATTAAAAGTTACAAAATGATCAAATGACTATGTTTCAAAGTCGTCTTTTTTTTTGTTACAAAATTAATGACGATCTAAGCTGGACGTTAACATGTTGACCGATAAATATTGTTGTTTGAGATTTTGAGATCAAATTTTATCATATCACAGTCAGTAAGTTAATGTACAGTTCAAAGTGTCATCTATTTTTATAAAAGAAAATGAGGACTGTGAAATATATAAATAATCAAGTGACTATTTTATAACTTTTAATAGTATGGGTACTCAACAAAGCAATACACTGATCATTTCATAACTTTTAATAATCGAAGACTCAACAAAGTAATATCTTGATCATTTAGTAACTTTTAATAATCAATGACTCAACAAAGCAATACCCTGACTATTTTATAATTTTTAATAATTGAAGAGTAAACAAAATTACACCCTATAATTTGGATACCATTTACATGCTTTAAGGAAAGAGGCAAAATATTGGAAAAAAGTAGAGATGAACATTAGCATGTGGAGGAAGACGGTGTGTTACTTGATGAATGTTAGGTCAATGTTTTGCATTTTAAAGATGCCTTTCCGAAACATAACATGCTAATATTGCTAATCAAATCAAGTGGGTAATTAACTTAACACGCTTTACCTCTTTCTTTTATATGCTCACCACGAACCCTAAACCCATGTTTTCATTTGCCGCCAACTAGTGACAAATCCAGGAAAAAAAATTATAGGGCGAGTCAATATAAAAAAAATCATCTAACATAACTTTTATATACTTTTATTTAAAAGTATAATAACAATTATATATATTTAAATTAAATCTAGAAAATATATTAATTGGAGTACTATAATTTTCTTAAATTCATATATATATATATATATATATATATGATAAATTGCTTATTTGGTCACTCTCTATTACATAATTTATGTTTTGGCAATTCAACTATTATTTTTTAAAAATTATTCCTAACATTATGTTTTGGTTATGTTTTAGTCACCTATCGTTAAAAAATTAACAGCGATGCTAACATGACATTTTTAATTATTTTTTAATCTTGATATGACACTGTCTTATGATGACACATCAATATTACTGTTAATTTTTTAAATAAGAGTGACCCCAAAATAGAACCAAAATGTAACGATGTATATGATTTAAAATAAATACTAGCCGGATGATCAAAACATAAATTAAATAATAAGTAAGTGATTAACTAAGTAATTTACATTTTTTTGGGCATAGAACGGGCCATGACCTAGGTAGGTCTATACCTAAATACGCCCCTGCCGCCAGCCAACCATATTTTTCCTATTCTCCCTTAAAAGCATAGCGTATTATTCTTTCTGCAGTAACAAGCGGTCCAAGATTATGCAATTCAATCTTATTTTATACACGGTCCGTAAAAAATTTAAATTCGAATTTTTATATGATATTTACGCATAATTATGGAATCCAATCTTTTAAGCAGCTCTAATTTCTTATTACTCACGTAGTAAACCAAAGAACAACGAAAACGGTAAAGATATAACAACAAGAACGTGAGAGACGAATATAATTGTAAATGAGATGAGATATATCCTGAGTTATATAAGATTGATTTGATTAAAATTTGGTTAATATTTGAATCGAATAGATTCGACTTGAATTCTTAACTAGTTCAAAGTCAACTCAAATTCTTAACGAGCCAAAGCGAAGCTATTTGGTAATCGACTCAAAAAAATTCGCTAGAGACTTAAAAAAAATAAGATATTAAAATTTTAATTTTTCTTAAAGTTAAATTATTAATAATATTAACATTTATATGTTATTTTTAAACAATACAGACTTTTATGTACTTAAGGTTTGGGTTCAAGTTTTAGTCGAGCTTCAATTTTTTATTTCGAGTGGAGATTGAAAATTTTAATATTAAAAGCTTGCAATTTGAGTCAAACTTTAACTTTTTATTTTGAGTTTGAGTGGAGCTTAAAAATTTTAAGCTACGAATTTTCGAATCGAATCGTATTTAATTTTAAAATTTTCAAATCAAATTTAGCATAACAAATATTAGAACTTAATTCAGCTCATTTATAGCCCTAGAGACAAGACAAACAATTTGACACCAACCATAAAACAAATTTTCCGTTTCCCATTGTCAACTCACATAATATGATCCCGCAGCTTTCTTCTTTATATACGTATATGATTTCTCCATATCCATATCTTCAAATATTAAAATTAATATGTACGAACTAAATTGACTTCAGTAGTAAAAGAAGTATTATTATTCCTTGAGGTCCTCTGTTCAAGCACTATAAATGTTAGAAGTATGACAATTCATTATCAAGTGGATTCATGGCTCTTGCACAGGTTGCAAGGAGTGGCTTCAGAAGATCAGGAGGTACCTTCAGGGATCACACGAGTGAGAGGAATACCTTCTCCGAAACCGCAAAGATTTCTTTCCTTCCCTTGAAAAAAGCAATGTGCAGAGCAACTTGACTTGGCTTTCCACCACAACAAGGTTAAATCACATGAGTTTTTGGAGCAGGGAATTAGGACAACCCACATTATCAGTTCCTTTAGCATAGCGGGAAGTATAGTCCAAATCGAAACATGATGAACCAAGGTGTCCAGGACTAGAGGCAACCAAGCAAGGCGAACAGCCTAGAGTGGTTGTCCTTGGTACCGGATGGGCACCATACGGATTCCTAAGGGGCTTGACACCAGAATCTATGATGTTGTTTGCGTATCACCTCGAAACCACATGGTGTTCAACCCTTTGCTTGCTTCAACTTGTGTTGGGACGCTTGAATTCCGCTCAGTTTCCGAACCTGTTAGCCAGATACAGTCTGCATTGGCAACAATAAGCCCCAACTCATACTTCTATCTTGCTTCTTGCATAGGCCTTGGCACCTAACACTCATGAGGTGAGTTGATATATATCATATTCATTGCCAACTTGCTTATCCTGTTACTAGACCTTTAAGTACATACCTTGACAGAGTCATTGGTTTTGAGTGGTCTTTAATAAAGTTCAAGTCTTTTATACTATAAATCTTTCATTGATTCCAAATTTACTTTTTGATTTTGTATATTTTATTGTCAGCTTCATGTTGGTGAAACTGATTAATATAAAGGGAAACATAGAACAGTAAAATATGGGGGGAAACAGGTGAAAAATCAGTTATCTGAAAGCTGTACAAAGCAGACATGAACATGAACAACAAAAACACAAATCTCATATCTTTTCTTACAAACTCATCAATCAAAACTTGGGTTGCTTTTAGGACAATGAAATAAGCAAAGACAAGCGAGAAAAAATAGAAGCAAAGGAATGGACAATTCCGACTAAGATAGCCGCTTTTACTTTACCCCTCCTTGGAATCGGACGTCCGGTGGTCCTCGGTGAAGTGCTGCCGCCGTTGATGCTTTCTCTCCTTGCTCCACCCATTTCTTCTAAGATCTAAGAAATGAAATCTGTTGCTTTGTGTTTGTGTTGTGCGATCTGCAGGTGGTGTCCATTGTTTATATAAAGAGGATAACAAATGATTGCCCTTTGTTTCTTGCAAATATTACAGTCATGCCAGCAGAAATAGTTTGACTGTGTGCTAGGACTCTGTCTCTGCTGCGTTCACGCCACTACTCGGTGCTGTTCTTTTCTCAGTCGGAGTGCATTTCTCATCACTATATTCTATTCTTTTTATTTAATTCGATTAATTTAAAAATATATAAATTTATTGTTTTGTCATCAATTAATAATCTAATTTAAAAAATGATTTTTAATAAAAAAAATAAAGAAAAAAATGTGGTTAGACCTATTCTACCACTAATGGATTATTTAAAGTAATGTAAATGAAACGAGATATATTGAGAGTAATTTAAATTTGATTTGGTTATTTTTAAGGAAAAATATTGATTTTATCAAAATTTACTTTAACACTTAAATTGAATGGACTCACTCGAATTCGTAACAATATGAAGTGAGTTATTTAATAACCGATTGAAAAAAACCTAAACAACTTGAAAAATGATATATTAAAATTTTAAATTAAATTATTAATGATATTATAATTTACATGTTTTTAGTACAATATAAGATTTTTATGTATTTAAGGTTTGAGTTCGAATCTAAGCTTCAATCGAGTTAAGTTTGAGAATATTTTGAGTACAAGTTTTTCGAGCTCGAGTCGAGATTTAATTTGTTTATTTTTGAATTCATGTGTAGTTTGACAAATTTAAGCTCGTGAGCTTTTGAAGTCATGTATCAAGTAGCTCGTGAACTTTTTTAAAAAAACAAAATAAGTTTACAAAGTGAGTAGAACTTAACTTTAAACTGCTCAAAATGCATTAAACTCAATAATATTAGAGCTTAACTCCACTCGTTTATAGCCCTAAATTTTAAAGTTCAATGAAATAATTTTCAAATGAAATTGAGTTTATTAGATGGAAATTAATGAAAGTATTAGTATTTTTTTTTATAAAAGAAGATCATTCGATTTTTGTCAAAAGATAAGAGTAGGCCTGTAAACGAACATAAACGAACACTTTTTTTATTTATATTCGTTCATTAAGGAATATAGCTTGTTCATGTTCGTTCATTTAAATGATAAACGAACACAAACGAACACAAACGAACGAACATAATAAATGAACATAAACAAACAACACAAATATAAAAAACAAACTTATTCGAACACAACAAATGAATGTAAAAAAGTAAACAACTTAAAATTAATTAATATAACCTGAAACTTTAGACTTAATTTGTTCCAATATGATAAAAACATACATAAATCATAAATAAGTTATATGAACATAATAAAGTCTTAAAGTTAATTTATTTAATAAAACAATCTTTTTTGAAATCCAAACAACTTCAATAATCTTCGTCCAATTTGCTCTCTGTTCGAACATAAATGAACAAACATAAACGAACATATAATTGAACATTCACGAACATAAATGAACAAACGAGCTCTTTGTTTGTATTCGATCATTTAATTAAACGAATAAAAAATTTTATTTATATTCATTTAATTAATAAATAAATAAATATAAATAAACTTTTCACCGTACAATTCATGAACAATTTACTTAACGTTCAAGGTTGTCTTCAATGAATTCGTTCAAAAGAGGAAATTAATAAATCCAGATTTGGCACAGAATTTGAGACAACTCACTCTCTCCATTATCATAAATGTTTGATTTTTACAATATAAAAAGAAAAAACTGTTTCACGTACGACAATACACACTCTCACCGGTCACCGCCCAATTCAGACCAATAAAGCTTTCGTTTTTGTGTTGTTCCGAGTGAGGTGTGAACACAAAATTCAAAAGGCGGAGTCGGTGCATTTAGAGACATCAGACAGTGACAGAGACAATAAAAGATTCTTTATCTTGTAATAGTATAAAGTAAGGTTTGAGCTTTTTAATGTAAAGTTCAATAATTATTCATGTCTCCACTTAAATCACATGTTCCATTGAGTTCCCACTAACTAAGAAAAAATAAGAGTAAATTACATGGATGACCACTAAACTATAATCATAATTCATTTTAATCACCGATGTTTCAATCTGATTAAAATGACCACTCAACTTTTTAAATGGTTCAAACAAGCCACTCTCCGTTAATTTTTAACAAAAATAATGATGTGGCCGTTAATAAAAATGACATAATTATACATTTGATCCTCAATATTTATACATTCTATCAATTTAGTTACTATTTTAATTCAATTAAATAAATTTAATCATCTGATCTAGAGGTGCCACATGTCACTATAGACTGGAGGATGAATTTAATTAATTTTAATATTTTACTAATTAACTTTTCCCCACCAATCAGGTGGTGACATGTGTCACCACTTGTGTAAAGGGAAAAACAAATTAATATTACAAAGGAGCTGCTTGGAGGATTCGCCTGGGCAAGCCTTTGCCACTAAGTGAGCCCATCTATTTGGTTCTAAAGTGCACAATATTTTATATATTGTATGAGATTATTTCACATAATCATATATACATATATATTAAATTATTAAAACAAATCTAATAAAATTGATTTCATACATATATATATATATATATATATAATTATATATAATTATAGTTAATGTAAGACTTAAAAATAAAAATGAGTTTACTATTTTTATTTAGATTATTTTAAAATAATAATATATAAAATATATTAAAATAAAATTATTTTAAAATAATAATATATAAAATATATTAAAATAAAATTATATTAAAATTATTTAGAGAATTCAAATCACAAAATAAAAATGAGTTTAATATTTTTTTTATTTAAATTATTTTCTAGAATTAATTTTTAGATAATAATATATAAATTATATTAAAATTGTTTAGAGAATCCATATAATAAAATAAAAATAATTTCAAATAAAAATAAAAATATTAAATTTCTTTTCATTTTAAGTCTTAAATTAACTATAATTTAATATATATGTAAAATAGAATTTTTTTATTAGATATGTTTTAATGTGTGTGTTTGTGAAGTAATCATAGACAAAATATATAAAAGCCTTACCAATTTGATTTCAAAATTGGAGTTTGCCTCGGCGGTAAAGGGTTGCCCAAGGTTGAGGGGAAGGTCCCTAGTTCAGCTCCCCTCGCAAGCATTTAAGGTAATTTTGTTTTCTCTTTAAAATAAGGTGGTGACACCTGGTTGGAGAGAAAAATTATTTAATTAAAAATATTAAATTTAAATAAATTAATTTTCCAATAATATAGTGACACATGGCACATTTGATTGGGGTTATTTTTTAAATTAAATTAAATTTAGAACTAAATTGATAAAATGTATAAATATTGAAGATCAAATATATAATTATGCCATTTTTATTAACGGCCACGTCACCGTCCATGTTAAAAATTAACGGAGAGTGGTTTGTTTGAATTATTTAAAAAATTGGGCGATCTTTTTAATTAAATTAAAACATTGGTGATCAAAATGAATTTTGACCACAGTTTGATGGTCACCCGTGTGGTTTACCCAAAAAATAAATACTCCATCCATGTTATTAAAGTTGTTTCTTATTAAAAAATATGATTTCTAAGACCCCTTTAATTATTTAATTAAATTTTATAAATATACATTTTACATCTAATTAATTGAATACTTTTTTTATATTTTTATCAATGTTGACACCTGTTTTTATCCTAGTTTTAAAAAATTTATTTATTTATTTATTTATTTATTTATTTATTTATTTATTTATTATTTTCATTATTTGCAGGGCCATGTTCAACCCCATTTCCAACCAATTACCCATTCAAACAACAACTCACTACCCCATTTACCTATTCCAGTACTCTCCATTCTTTCCACACGTCACTTTCTTTTTCAAATTCACTTTGTATTTTTTTAATTTAAAAAGGACCACTATCATCATGTCAGGGGGTCTCGACCAACCCCTCACCCATTTCCCTTTTCTTCTTTATCCTCTGTTTTCGTTTGGATTTGCGGGAGGCTCAAATATCAAATCAACTTGGAGCCATTGGTGGGAACAAGGATAACCCTATTCCAATTTACTTTCTTCTGGTAACCTCATTTCATCGTCAAGTACTGGTGCATGGCTGTCATAATGAAGTAATCATACAAAACCCCTGGTTTTGTTAATAAATACTCATCAGAGACTGGTCTCCAACCAGCTCCATCTTTCGACTCGGTTCGAAGTTGAGCTTCTTCGTTGGGCTGAAATCCGAGAACAGAAGTTGGTGAACAGAGATAGTGAGATTCTTGGCCAGAATCATACCCGGAAATCATTTGAAGCTGCGATGGTCGTGAAGGATCCGACTTTACAAAGTTGAAGATAAAGAGGGAGATAAATGGAGCGTACGCTTTGGGGACATTTACCGTTGTTAGTAGGAGTGAGTTCCAAAGAAGTAGAATTCATTCTTCAAACCCTCTGGAAACTCAAAAATCTGATCTCGACGCCGATGACCATCGCCTCCTCTGTGAAATGTTTCAGCTCCAAAACGAGTCCGACCTCGACCCATTTCTATTATGTCTCCGCGTGTTAACCCGTAGATGTGTTTATGAGAATATCAGCAAAGATGATATTCAAAAGGCAATGACTTGGAATACTGCAACTCAGGAGACTGAAATGATGGAACCGTTGGCCGTTATCAATTTGAAGCTCCAAAATGACGCATAGGCTCCACAATAAGAGTTGGACTTGAAGTTCCAATTAGCCAAAGAAACACCGGATACGATGCTGAAATCGATGTACTGTATAAGACATCAGTTGTCAAATTTGGGTGAGACATAAATGGACTTTTTCATTTTTATTATTATTTCATATTTTATTTATTTATTCAATTTTATTGTTTCAATCAAACATTTTTTTGGGCTTTTTATAGAGGAATTTCGATCAATCAAAGGTAAGTAATTTGAATCGAGTAAAATTTAAATTTAAATTTTTAATTTTCACAATTAAGACAACCAACAAATTAATTGATACCGAAAGGGTGGTTCAAATGTGCTAATCCTTTCTTAACTATAACCGACTCCAACATGTTTTTGGTACAACACAGATCAGGTAAGATGGTGTCCGACCTACCTAAATTCGTTTTAAAGTGGTCGGTGGCGACTCATAACCCAATTATTTAAGTCGAAGCCCAATTTCGGGCCCAACCGAAAGACGGTTCCGACAGCTTGGCGACTCTGCTAGGGACAGGTAAGTAAGTCAGGCCAGAGTTAATTTTCGGTTTACTTTTTATGCAAAAATAGTAAATTTTAATTTTAATTTATTTATTCGATTCAAATTATTTACCTTTGATTATTTTTCAAGTAAATAGTTGTACTGACGTTTTTTTTCAATGATTTCAGATTTTCAAAATTTTCATCTTAAGCTCTATACCCGAGCTCTGAACCCTATTTAAGTAGGGGTGAAAGCGATGCCTTCGTGTGAATTTATTCACTGTGCGGGCCTAGCAAGTAGCCTTCGGGATCCATATACCTTATGTCTTCGTGTGAATTTATTCACCGTGCGGGCATAAGGGAATGTTTCCTCTCGAGTTTAACTTAGTCCACACAAGCTTGTAATAGGCTTAGGACTAAGGGTCTGGCAAGCCCAAGGAGACACCAACAAGGATAACTCGAGTACCTTTTTTAGAACCTAAACCGTGAGAGTACAGGGAATTAGAGCTCACCCCAAAACCTCATTCCAAACCCTAGGATGCTTTGATTTTATTTCTTGCATTACTTTCTGTTCAAAGAATACGAACTAGACAAATATACGGTTAGAATTTGTTTGAATTTAGCATGCAGGATAAAGATAATGTCCGGGTATGAATTAAAGCATGTGGGGGTAGATATCATGTGAGGTAGGCTTTTTTCATTTTTTTATTGTGTTGATTTACCTCATTAACTCTTTTTATTTTTTGTTATCTTTCATTTTGTTCTCACCATTTGCATCATTTAAAAGAGGTGTTGATCCACCAAAAACGTGTTTGTTAAACATGAATAATCTGCATTAATGGACAAAGGGGTTGTAATACAAGAGATGAAAATGCAGAGGACATTCTACAAGACGACTATGTGTCACATTCAATCTAGAAGACGCGGTGCCCACAATTGAAGAGTATATCACCCTGTTGCATTATAAAGGACTTAGAATGAACCGGGTATATGTCAAGCACAATGAAAGTCTATCTTTGAAGAACTAACTTGTAGAGGTTGCAGGGGCAAGATGAAGGTTACTGATATTGGGAAGTCCCTTCAAAGACAACAATGGCAAAACGATAGCTAAAATTAGAGACCATTACTGACGAATTCAAGAAACAGACAAATGAACTTCACATTGTTCCTATCAATTGAGGGCTCCAATGATGTATTCGTTAGGAACATGTTCAACAAAAGATAAATGCCAGAGATGCAGTTATTCAAGATTTCTTGGGCCAGTACAAAAAGCAACTCAACATTTACACGGTTCATCCAGAGAAGCCAGAACGGTTCGACAGGTTATCCAACCGGTGACAGACGAAGGCAGAAGACTAGTCAACATGTCAGAAGCTGTCAGGATATTTTTGTCTCTTAAAAGATAAAACACTTTTGTCCCCAATGAGGATTATTTATAATAACAGACATATTTTTGGATAAATGCCTCGAACATTGCATGCATCATGCATTCCTTTATATTTCGCAATATTTTTTTATTACATTCAAATGTCTCATAAAAAATGGGAACATTTTGATTCTATTCCCACGATCTACAAAGAGATTTACCAGCAACTTCTTGACACCCATTAGTGTCACCATACCCGATGGAACCCATGAAGTCCCCATACCCCAAGTTGCATGACGAGAATACTCATTGTGAATACCACGACGGTGTCCCAGGGCACTCAATTGATATATGTTACGCAAAGACGTACAGAAGAGGCATAACCAGAATTGGATCGACTTCAACAACTTGAGGGCATCCAAGTGAGGAAGATCATTTCATCATTTGAGGCATTCTATTTGAATTTGTTTTTTTCTCAAGTTTGGACTTTTAAAGAAATTTATGTTGCTTTAAAGATGTTAAGCAATGAATCACATTTGCAAACTTGCAATTCTTTAAATATCATTTGAATTGAGAAACTCTGTAAATTGTTCAAAGTTACAGATCTTTGACGAAGTAACATGATTTAAAACAAGGGCTTTGACCTTACCCAGAATATACCCTCAAACACCGTACTATGTTCTTACAATCAACCAGTGTAACCTTTTCCTTTCATAAGGTAAGGACAACATGGGGCATCATTTGCATATGACAATTACTATACTTTTCGTTTAAGACGTTCAATGATGGTCATTATCTTTACAGATGAAATAGCCGAGTAGGTGAATCTAGTTTAGGTCAGTTGCTTGGAAATTTAACTCTAAAGATGAAATTCCTTGACTTTCAACAACACATAGACTATAACAGGTTCTTCTTGACAATCTTAATAAATTAAATCCGTAAAGTTGAGCTATTCCACTAAGGCAATTGGTTATAGAGGAAACTTGAAAGCCCTGGCCTTATGAGTAGATTACGTTCAAACCATGACATTGCTCGAACACTTGGCAATTCGGTGTTTGCTCCACTGCTATTGTCCGGCCGAAGACTTTGTGATGAGATGAACCCTCCAGTTAACTTGATAAAACTGATTATAATGTTAAGTTGTCCCTCTAAAGCAATTGGTTAAACGCCTCGGCTTTATGGATTCAGCTAGCCAAATAACGACAAATTAAATCAAATTTATCTAATCAAAGAAATTTTCGGTAAAAATGGACTAAGGGAGTTAAAGAACACATGTTATAGTCAATTTCACACGAGCACTCAAGAATTTCATTTTTAGACCGATATTTCTGCACTACCTTTGTTAGAGGTGCTTACAAAACTTGAATAAATGGAAGATTTCAGAGGACCGAAATAAAAGGTCTAGCAGATGATCATGCTAGTTGCGTCATTTTGTCCGTACCCAATTAAAATGCAAAAAAACATGTTGCGATATTTCAAAAAATGACATTTTGGTGACCGAAACCTTAGAAAAGAGGCCAACCTAAAGTCAATTCATCCATTTGAACATTTTTCAAAGAGCTATAACTCTTAAAGCATTAAAAAGAGCTATTGATTCTTTTGATATACTTTGAACTCATGCTTACAATTTGATTCAATTGCGAACAATATTTTACAGAATTTTTTCCTTTTCCCTCCTAAAACAAGAAAAATGAGAAAAACATTTTCAAACAGAACAATCTCAAATATGAAAGGTCTGTAAACCCAAAAGCTCGAGAAGTAAATGGGGCATGATCGATTCCAATGACTAGATTGGCAGACAAAACACGGGACTCCAATCCAAGAGATAAAACATAACTCATTCATGTTGCATACATCTTAGACATATTTAAGAGCATCACATTTATCATTTTTAGCAATACATAATTTTTTGCAGCCATTTGAGTCAAGTTTCAACTTCACGACGAAAGATCCTCGATTCAAAAGCACATTTAAAAGTTGATGGTGGTTGTTTAACTTCACAGCGAAGGGGCGACTGACTGTCTACAAACAACATTTCAGTTTCATTCAGAGTCAATTTCAACTTCAAAACGAAAGATATTGAACTCGAAGCGATACAATTTGTTTGAAACATAATTTCAACTCCACTTAAAACCAACTTTCTCGAGATTGGATTTCAACTTCACAATGAAGGATATCCAACTCAAAGCAAATATACAATACTTGGATTTCAACTTCACGGCGAAGGATATTCAAGTCAAGTCTCAACTTCACGACGAATGGGTCATCCACGATTTTAACTCCACGACGGAGGATATCGTACCCACACAACCACGATTTCAACTCCTTCGTACCCACACATCCACGATTTCAACTCCACGACGGAGGATATCGTGTTATTTGAGGCTCAACTTCATGACGAAGGGGCTTCCCAGTTTCAACTTCACGGCGGAGGATATTGGACTCGAAACAATACAACTTACTTGGATTTCAACTTCACGACGAAGGATATCCAATTCCAGGCTCAACTTCACGACGAAGGGGCCACCCGCGGTTTCAACTTCACGACCAAGGGAATCGTGCACACAAGCAGCATCCATCTCTAGATTGGATTTCAACTTCACGACAAAGGATATCCAACTCAAAGAATGAGTGTCTGTCAACAAACTTTCCAGTTTCAGAGTCAATTTCAACTTCACAGCGAAGGATATTGGTCTCGGAACAACGCAACTTACATTGGATTTCAACTTCACGACGAAGGATATCCAATTCAAGGCTCAAGTTCACAACGAAGGGGTCATCCACGATTTTAACTTCACGAAGGAGGGAATCGTGCTCACCAACAATAATACAAGCTTGGATTTCAACTTCACGATGAAGAATATTCAAGTCAAGGCTCAACTTCACAACGAAAGGGCCATCCGCGGTTTCAACTTAACGACGAAGTGAATCGTACCCACCAGCAACATTCATCTTCAGGAACAAACAGATTATCAATCGCCTTTGAGATTGTTTCTCTCGAAACAAGGGGTCGTCTCGCTTGAGACTAATTAACTTAAAACAAAATTTTGTCTCTCTTGAGACAATTTCTCTTGAAACAAATTTTGTCTCTCTTGAGACATTTTCCCTTGAAACAAAATCTTTGAATATGTTTTTCTTTGAAAAAAATTACGTCTCCCTTGAGACAGTTTCTTTTGGAACTAAGTTTTGTCTCCCTTTAGACAGTTTCCCTTGAAACAAAGTTTTGTATCTCTTAAGACAGTTTCTCTTGAAACACAAAAAAAATCTTAGAAAATGTTTCTCTTGAAACACCAAAGACCTTCGAGTTCGACTACGCTCAGCTCCAAGTCACATCATTTGCAACATAGCTCAAGGTAAGAAGGGCTATTTGCCAACAAAAGATATTCGAGTTCGATTATACTCAGCTCGAGGGCCTGTCAACCACATGGTGGAGTCAAAGAACTATTTTTCAGTCGATTTTTTCAACCAAGGTCTTTAAATCAAGAAGAAGACCAAAGAGCAACGAGAAGTCACATCCCGATTCAAATCCCGAACTGCGGCTTCAATTCTATATCATTTTGAGATGGACTTGACTTCGCGATGAATGAGCCATCTGCAACTCAATTCGACAGGGAGTTATTCTTAATTGAAATATCAGAGTCAATTTTTAACTCCACCGGACAAAAACTTGTTGTCTTTTTTATCTTTGCCCTATTCTTGTTAACACAAAAATGTGTAAAGAGGGGCAGTTGTTAACACATGTTTTTGTCCAAATTTAAAAATATATATATATATATTATTTATTTATTTTTTATTACTATTATTTTTATTATTTGCAGGGCCATGTTCAACCTATTTCCAACAAATTACCCATTCAAACAACAACCCACTACCCCCACCTACCCGTTCCACTACTCTCCACTCTTTCCACACGTCACTTTCTCTTTCAAATTCACTGTATTTTTTTTTAATTTAAAAAGAACCACTATCATCATGTCAGGGGGTCTCGACCAACCCCTCACCCATTTCCCTTTTCTTCTTTATCCTCTGTTTTCGTTTGGATTTGTGGGAGGCTCAAATATCAAATCAACTTGGAGCCACTGGTGGGAAAAAAGATAACCCTGTTCCAATTTACTTTCTTCTGGTAATCTCATTTCATCGTCAAGTACTGGTGCATGACTGTCATAATGAAGTAA